GGCCCTAGGCGGTGGCGATGGGGGCCGCCCGGATCGCACCCGGTCTGGCGCTGCTGCTCTGCTGCCCGGTGCTCAGCTCCGCATACGCACTGGTAAGTCCCTTGCTAGCCGCCCTCCAGGACAGGAGTCTAGGAGTTGCTCTGGTATCGCTGGGGAGGGTCTATAGCACCGAGACTTGGGTGCTTCCAGTATCCTTAACTGTAGATGGGGCTCCTGGGTTCCTGTTCTCTCTGGAAAGTCTGGACCGTGGATTTCATATGCCTGAAGTCTCCCTATTTCTGAAGCCAGCGTTTGGGGTCCCGGGTCTGGAAATTTGTGGTTGGGGTTTCCCTATGAGCACACATTTTAGTTGTCTCCCTGGAAGGTGACAGTGTGATCCAGCAAAAAGCTCAGTGTGATCAGAGCTTTGGCTCTGGATGTGGCGTTCCACAGTCTGCTTTGAGGGCCTGTTTCCTGCGAGTTTTGCATGCAATCCTGGATAGCTGTGGATCTGAGGTCAGAATCACCCAAGCAAGCGGTAGGATTTAGGGCCCTTCTCCAGCTCTCACTATCACACCCTTACACACAAGCACAAACACATGTCCAGCTTTACCCAGAGTGGAAGCTGTTTGCCCAGGGAGGTGGGTGTGGTGTGTCATGGAGGTTCACTAAAAGAGACTGGCTTCACCATACACTCCTGCAGGAGAAATTGTTTTAGGGGGACTCTGGTAAGTAAGGAGACCCCTGGGAAAATTCTGCATTCCCCTAAGAGTGGAACCAGGAGACAGCATGGTAGAGACAGCTGGAGAGATGGGGGGGGCCGGGAAAGAGACCGACAGACAAAGGGGAGTGGGGATGAGAGCTCCCCAGTGCAAGGGAGTTAGACAGACCCAGAACAGATACAAATAGGGAGACAGTCCAGGCAGACAGCCCACCCAAGACACTGAAGGGGATCACCACCTCATCCAGGGGCCAAACTCTGGGACAATTTCCAGGGAAGGGGAAATGTTCCATCCCCTCACTCATATCCTCCAGCAGCCCCGTCCCAGGAGATCAGCCCATTTCTGAGGAAGCTGTAGGCTTGTGTGCCTGACTTTAAGGCCTCTGCTGCCCACTCCCACCAGCCCCCATCAGTGCCCAGGTTGGGGCATTTGCCTTCTCTTAGAGGCTAGAAGGCAGCAGTCGCCTCTGTCTGACTAGCAATGGCTCTGTACCTTGCAGGAGCTCTAAGATTCCTCCAGCTCTGCCTGATGTCTATGTGACCTTAGGCTATCCTTCTCCACTCCTCAATTGCCCCATCTGTAAAAAGAGGGCAATTTTTTTTTTTACAATTTTTTACCTATCATTGCCCTAATCTGAGGTAGTTCTCAGCATTCCCCGTTTACTGGTGCTTATGCCTTCACAATATGGTTCTTGTAGACCCTCAAAGCCAAAGACTTTGCCTCATACAAGGATCTGTAGATTGGGAGACTGAGGTTAGGAGGAACTGAGCACCCTAGGCAGAGGTTCTCCAAGCACTGGCAAAACACCAAGGGACAGAGCCATTTCCCCAACCTTCCCTCAGTGAGTTCTGTGTGTGCACGTATGCGTGCACAGAGTTGACAGGGTAATGAGCGAGTGGGTCCTGAGAGTATACCTGTGTATTGGACAGAGCAGGGCCCTAAGGAACTCTGGGCATGTTCTTCATCTGAGTCTCTGGAATTGTGTGTATCTGTGTTCAGTGGCTGAAGCTGTGGCTCTGCATATGACTTGCAGAAGCGCAGTTGTGTGTGTGTCATGAAAACATGTGCACCCAGGTCTAATACTGTTTTCTTATTTGTGTTTAACAAATGCTTCTGTACTTTCTACTTGCCAGATGCTGTTCTAAGCACTTTACACATATTAACTATTTTAATCGTCCCAATAACTCTCTGAGGAAAATACTATCCCTATTTTTTAACTAACCAAATTACACAACCACTGTGACCATTATTTATCTCATGCTAACTAAGTGCTAAGCCCTGTGCCTCTGTATGTGAGGTGATAAGGGTCTCCAGGGCCCCATACTACTCTGTTGGGAAGCTGAAGTATATGCAAAGAATTTTCCTGGCTTTGCTGGACATAGCACATGCCTATAATCCCAGCAATTTGAGAAGCTTGAGGCAGGAAGATTGCAAGTTCAAGGCTAGCGTTGGCAACTTAGCGAGACCCTGTCTCAAAATAAAAAAGGGCTTAGACCTGTCCTAAGACTGATGATAAGATAGAAGAGATGCCCACAGAGTCTGACTGAGATATGGTTAGGGTATGAGTTTATTGGACCTGCGCTGATTCAGAGCATGGGAATGTGGTCCAAAATCCAGAGATGCAGCCTACCCACCCTCCACCAAAGTCCTGTGGGCCCCCTGGGCTCAACCAGAGCCAACAAGAGGCTGGCAGCCTACCAGCTCCCTCTCCTGAGCCTGGGGACTACTGTTCCATCCAGATCTATACTGGCTCCCCCAAACTCACCCACCTCAGTGTCACCCATACCTGTATGCTACCTGCCCAACCAGCATCAAGAGCAAGCCCACTTCTCCAGTGGTTAAGGGGCCAAAGAGCTTCCAATTGGGAGAATACTAACTGCAGCCATTCTCTATTGGTCCATCTTGTTCCTTACAAGGCAAAGTAGCAGGGGGTTGAGAGGATTGAAGTTTAGAGGAAGGGATGGGTCCGAAGATTGTGAAAGGAAGCAAAGGGTGGTCTTGCCTTTGGGGATGCCTCATCATAAGGACTCTCTCAGCATACATGCATGCAGAGAAGAAACAGCAGTGGGAGAGGCACATGTGCAGCATGGGGTCAGGCTTTGAGTATGAAATGTGACTCCAGATAGGTAGAACTCGGGAGGGACTGGTGTGGCCTCAGAGCCTAGGAGTGCAGGATCGCTCCCAGTCTGCCCAAGGTACTTGCTTTAGACAAGAAAGAACCAAGATGTACTGAGCAATGACTGTCTCCATATTCTGAGCTAAAAACAGTCATGTATGTTCTCATTGCATTTGTCTGCCCAGCCATTTTACAGGAAAGGGCACCGAGATTTACTAGTGGGTCTGGAAGAGGTAGGATTTGAACCCAGGTCTTCAGACTTCTGCACTGAGTTCCTTCCTACAAAGCAGGGAGAGAGCTGCTCCTGGCAGGAGATCCTCACTCCCCGCAAGAGCAGCTCATGAGTTTTCTTTCTTTTTCTCTTCCTTTATTTTTTTTAAATGAAATGCTTGCATTATTTTACTTTAAAAACATTTTATAATGAAGACATACATATGTTCTTTCTTATTATACAGATTAAATAAGAATCCTCCATTACCCCTTCTACAAAAATCATTTTTTTTAACAGTGGGTGGATGGGGAAGTCCTCCATACCTCTTTCCCTGTGCTTTCAAACAATACCACTTATGTACATATAAAGGAGAGAGCTTTGTCCTGTTGTTTTCTGTTTGGTTGATTGTTTTAAATAAATGGTATCAGTTTTTAGATAGGGCTCTGTCATATGAATTTTACTACTTTAAGGTGTATCTTGAAGATCTTCAGTCAGAAAATATAAATCTATCTTTTTAAGTGCTGCAAAGTTTTCCAAAATGCGACATGCCTAGGAATGTTCATTTACATTGTTTCTCTGTAGTTGTTCTGTGTGCATGTGCAAACATGTGTCTGTGTGCATCAGATAGAGAGATAGAGAGCGAGAGATAGGTGTTCCCGACCATGCAGAAAAGCTCCTTGAAGTGCCCTCTTGGGTCCCTATGTGACTACTTCCCAGTGGGATATTTCTGGATTTCCTACTGTCTTTGCCGGATCTGAGAACAAGCACATTTTTTTCATCTTAATGGAAATGGCCAAATTGCTCTCTGAAAAGCTTGTGCCAGTTTATAGTCACCAAGACAAGAGTGGGAGGGCCCCCTCCCTATACCCTCGGTCTCAGGATATTAGGAGGGTCTTTTGCTGCACCTCTACACTTTATCCCCCTGCCCAGGATAGAAATCAAACACAGCCAACAGAGAGAGGGTTAATATGAATAATTTATTGCATTCAATCATATAATAAGGTAGTTACCCCTTAGGCAGAGTAGCCTCACGTCTGCATTTTGATAGGTGAAAGTGGTGTGTCTTGTCATTTTAATTTACTGATTGCCAGTGATTTTTGAACTCTCCACTTTTTTATTATTCATCTTCTTGGAGAGATTGCTCAGAGCCATTACCCGTCTTTCTATGGGTTATTTATCCTGTTTGTATTGATTTGTTGGAGCTTTTTATATCACCTGCCCTTAAACATATGCTCTGCCTCCCCGCTCCCCAGCTCCCAGAACTGCCTGTGGACAGAGCAGTAGGAGGGGGGCCGAGCCCTCCCGGGAACTTGGGTTTTCATCGGAATGTTTTAATGAGGCGTCAAGCGGCCTCCCCCCAGATTCCTGTTGTGGGCCTTCTGGGGACACTCCCTGGTCCAGCCACCACATCAGGAAAGCAGCTATTTTAGAGAGAGCCCCAGAAAATAAAAAAGGTAGGGTGGGATTTTTGCAGAAATTGTCTGCAGAATACCAGGTAACGAAGAGAGGATGCAAAGTTTTGCTTAAGTCCACCAAAGACATTGGCGACTTCCTGACCCTTAAGAATCCCAACTCTGTGGCTAGCCTTGTGCCCAAAGATGGGATCCCATTCTGCTAACTAGGCTGGAGGAAGCCTAGGCCATACCATCCTCCTGAGCCTTGGTTCTCCAGGCCAGGTAGAGGCTGCCTGTGAAGATCCACCATATCCTAGCAGCCAACTCCACCATCCCAGGCTCCATTCCACTGCCTGCCCCAAAGGCGGCCACGTTGGCTGGCTGGGATAAGAGGCTGTCACAGTGCCTCCCCTCCCCAACCCCTCCCAGCCCCAAACACAGGCAGCCTGTTCAGGAAGGCCTGGAAAGGGGGAGGAAAAGTCAGCACTTGTCAGCAGTGGTGGGATGAGGAGTCCGTCCCAGCCTGCTTGGGCCAGCCAGACAGAGGGCAGTGAGGGAGCAATCCCTAGCCAGCTGGCATGGCAAACGTGGAGGGGTGCCAGCACAGGTCCCAGTAGTGGACCTGGAGGAGGGGTGCAGGAAGGCCACGAGGTCACCAGAGAGTCTCCTA